ACTCCGTAAAAAAACAATTCTTAGTCGGTTTTTCGCGAACTTTGTACGGATATAACTAGGTTACCGTTGGAAGAATGAAGCTGATTTTTTTTACATACTAATGATAGGTACAGCCAATGACTATGAGAGTGTTTCTTTTTTAAATTTTTTCTCTAATTATAAGATATCTTATAATGTTAAGCTAATAAGATAATCTTGTAATTAGAGACAAAATTTAAAAACGAAACACCGTTAAGTCATTAGTAGTACCTATCATGAGTCTGTAAAAAAAATCAGCTTCATTCGTCCCACCGTAACCTAGTTATATCCGTAGAAAGTTCGTGAAAAACCGACTAAGAATTGTTTTTTTACGGAGTTATCAAATGTGCGCGATTTTTTTAAATATTTTTTAAGAGCTATTATCAACGTTTTCATTTGGTGTATAACTTATTTTCTCGAAAAACAACCTTTCAGAATTGGTACCACAAGAAGTACCCGCAGCGCCTTAAGTCGTATGACCTGAGACGGCAGACGATCGATTTTAGCATACTCTGATAGGGCAAAATGGAACTCCATCGGTTAAAATTTTGATCATTCTCGTTCAGTGGATTTCGTGCTAGCTCCCCTACTATTAGGACCATTCCCCTAGAAGAACGGACAAAAGCAAATGACCAAATCACATTTTTTTCGTTCAAATTTCAGCACTGGAAAGTTATAAAAAGTTCGTTACTGTCTCATTTAATAGATGTCCCTACTTGATATTCATTTGCATAGATATATAAATACCTAGATACAGCCATCCTTAACAAACGTACCTCGGTTTTAAAAAAACATATCTAAGAAATTTGTACATCTCTCCATTACTTTCTAACCAAGAAGAAACATGTTCTATCTCTTTTTATTGCATTAACCACTATGTCGTACGCGAATCGGACGCTTAAAACAAACTTAGCGCGTCCCATAAGTCATGTGACAGTTGACACATTTCACGATCGCGCGAAATCAAATCTAACTAAAAATATTCGCCCTAAACATGATGGGCGGTTTTTTCACTAAATATTATGTAATTATTGCGTTATCAATTGAATACGAATAACATTAGTGATTGCCATAATGATAGACGCGTCCATAATTGTTATTCCTGAAATAGTTTTATTACATAGAGCTACGCCATTCAAATTTGGGACTATGTTTACCTTGTTTGGCATGATGTGCTGCAGTGAATTCATTGCTGGCTTGCAGAATATCAAAAAAAACCGTAAGTAAGTAAAGTTTATGTTCATCATTTTAATTTTAATTGTATGGTTTTAGGCGTAATGGTAACGGAGATTAAGTTGCGACAGGAAGTGAATTCGTTTCCAATTATCATTTTGGCCTATATGATGTTGATGCAGTGCGTTTGTATCATGATCACAAAGAAGGATGCGTGCAATATTCTTAGGAAAGCGAGATTTATAGACTGTTGTGTGCGTGCAATATCAAATTTTGGTCGCTACGCGTCTTGCCTACCTTTCGGCATAATCCAATCGGTGGGGTTTCTTTTTGAAATGATAGTGCTAATTGTAGTAAGCTACACGTGTACATTTATTTAAAATAAATACAAAATCTTAACAATGATATCCAATTGATGATAATTCTCATTTAGTGAACATTCATTACGTTTGTAAAAGTTCACAATCCGAATCATCGTCAGATGAAATTGACAAATCCGAATCATCACTGTCATTATTAACACTTATTATAAAGTTCAGAAACATCAACCAATATAACTTCTCTTTTAAATTAATCACTTTCCACATCTTCACACACTTTCTTCCAGTTGTCAGCTGTAATTTTTTCAAATTCTTCATTTGCCAGTTTTCTAAGTAACATCTTCCATTTTAAATGTAACATTTCTTGCTGCTATGCGATTTAAATAAATAAAAAGGCGGTTTATTTATGTTGTAAAGTCTCAAATCTGATAATTTTTTGTGTGATTTGTGCTACCAATTTGATTGACAGTTATAATAAATAATGCGAATCTTGTCTTCCATGCTCAGGGTACCTCTATAAAGGATAGCGCTATACGTAATTAATGTGCCGAAAGTGATGGTAATAGATGGTACGTCCTTTTGAACTATGTTGGGGTATGGCTGTATCTATGTATTTATATATCTATGTTCATTTGCCATTTGTGGAGAAACCGCAAAACCAGACAACTTTATTAATTTTTAGCGCATTTTTTAAGAATGAAAAAAAATGTGTTATTGTTTGCCCGTTCGAAACTACTACAACGACGGGGCCGGGGGGGGGGGGGGGGTTAAAAATTAATTTAATCTCTATTGAAATTCTAATTTAAAAGTCTCAACGAAAGGACACCGTTTTTCTAACCATCTGACTGCTTCCTTCTATTCCTGTCCTCTTTATCTCAAAAAGTACGGGGTAACAGGGGGGGAGGGCGGGGCAGTGGAACTAGTTTTATCCTTCATGGTACTCTTAATGAAAGGTCTCAACGAAAGGAATTAATTTCTACCAACCATAACCCTCCTCCTCGACCTATTATCGTGATCGGGTATATTCTCTTATACCTTAAGAACGGATTGTCGGAAGAGGGTACTCACAAAGGGCGATTGAGACGTCTGCGAGAAATATATCCATTGGTGATGTCAAAACAAAAGCTATTTCGGTTTAAAAAATGCGCTTTATCTGCACAATGTGCACGATTTTTACTTGTTTAATCTTGTGCTGATTATTATTTTCATCATGTGTTCGTTTATTACAAAAAAAGTGAATTATCTACATGTTGTTTATATAATTCGTTCTTTCATGTTAAAATAAGAGAGCGGCATTAAATAAATAAATAAAATGTATAAAAGAACCGCGCCAATATACAGTAGGTACCTATACATACTCTTGATAATTTAGCGAAAGGTATACGTAAGTACCTGGTTTTATCCAAAGCAGTTTTTGTCACCAATCCATTAAAGTTTTTGCGCATATTGAATTTCAAACTGCAACTCGCATACTTTTTGCAACGACATTTTGTTTATTTCAAGTTCTTTTAGACAGAAAAAGTATGAGAAAATAATGTAGAAGTCATTGCACTAATATTTCAAACGTTCGGTATATGTATTTTTGCCTTATTACTCATGCGAATCTGTTTTTGTCGCGACATGTGGGGTTGCTAATAAATTCACACGTCTTTTATTTACGTACCACACGAGTTTTGTACAATAAAACAATAAATATTTAGGTAGTTTACATGTTCCGTCATCTTTTTGTTCACTAAAAATAAAATCATCAAAATATCCTGTTGAAGACGTGCCTAAAATGCCAAGAATCAATCAAACATATTTATATTCTGTCGGATGGCGCACTTCATCAAACTGTATAATGTAATACTTATTGTTGCTGGTTACTTTAGTTAATGCATCTGCTGTAAATTAAACAAAACTTCCAGGAACACATTTAAAATGATTTTGTTGTCATTCTTCAATTTATGTGAGTTATTTACGTCAGACATATCCATATTATAAACAATTAAAAAATATTGTGCATAGTACAATGATCTTTTTACAGTTAATGAACTGAGTGATCTTTTAACTTGGTGCTTAATTAAAAATAATGTAGCTCATTGATTCGATGTATATCTATATCGGAAGGTTCATATGCATATGAATTTTAAACAATTTATGTCTTCCTTTACGTACAGCAATGGCGCATTGGTAATTGTTCATACCTGTTACATTCTAATGAGACGAGTAACGAGTATATTGAATTCAAAATGAGGAATTTATAATTGTTTTTTTGTCGGAAATGTGTTGTAAACCAACTGCTGTCAAACATAAACATTGGTAGGTACCTACTTAAGTATTCCTTCTACAGTATCTATCTTACCATCATCCCAAAGTCAAATCATGCATGCGCACTAGACCTTGCTCCAGTTTATGATATTGGTTCCGCACATTTTTAAAGTCAACTACTTAAATTCGCACAGAATTCGAGAAAAAAACATACTTCGGGCTTGTCAACGAGGTTTTCTTGCCCAAATGACAGAAACGATCTGTTGAGAAATTCCAGTGGTGCAGATAGAAGATTCCGACAGGCTCCTCTCGCTTCTTGCGATGGAGTGATGATCGCCAATGGGGATATCGAATTTTTGATAATGCTTTCTTTCAAGAAATTTGAGATACTACGTATGTGAGATTTTCCAGAATGTTTCCCTCAAACACATCAAAACCGTATTCTTTCTTTTCTGGTTGATTTGGAATTTTTGGTAAATTTTCGAGGCAAAGCTATATATATACTTGGCTTTCTTTAATCGGCTGTGTTGCCAACTTTTATTATAGTGGTGCTACAGTAACACTCTATTCGAAGTAGCTCTTTTCTGGTTAAGACAAGCCGTTTTTGAGATACGTACCTACACTTGCTTTTTTAAAATCGGTTGTGTTGTAGTGGTTTTGTTTTCAATACCGCTTCGTTTTGGGGTTCTACAGGTCAAAATCTATTACATTATAAATAATTGCTCCCCGTTCACTCTGAAATAAGTCGTTTTTGGTAGATTTTTGGAGCAAGATTTTTTAACCGCTTGTATTGACTTTTAAGTTTTATTGTAGTGGGCTGCTTCGTTTTGGGATTGTACGGCTCAAAATCTAATAGAAATAGTTGTGTCCCGTAGACTCTGAAATAAGTCGTTTTTGCTAGATTTTTGGAGCAATATTTTTTTAACCAATTTTATTGCCTTAAGTTTTATTGTAGAGGTCTAATCGTCAATTGTAACGGTT